GAAAACGCAGTGATCTTTATAAATAATTGTATTTATGATAGTCTAAACCCAATATATATAAAATATACGTCAAAGATTTGGTAGGATTTATAGAATATTGTAAAAATTATGGTCTATTACCAACATATATATCGAATGTTTGGCGTTAATATGTTTCACATTCGGTAGAATTTATAGAATATTGTAAAAATTATGGTCTATTACCAACATTTATATATATATATATATATATATATATATATATATATTTATTTATTTATATTTATATATATTATTCATGCATGATAAATTTGGATAACAAAAGTTCTATTAAATTTTTTTGATGAACTTGAATAGTAATTCTATTTTCAACAAATTGAACTATTTCCAGAAAATTCTAGTAAGAAAAATTAAAAAGACAAACTTTAAATTGATTAATGCCAACAATTCGGTAGAATTCATACAATACTGTATAAAATATGGTCTCCTTCCAATACACACACACACACACACACACACACACACACACACACACACACACACACACACACACACACACACACACACACACACATATATATATATATACATACATATTGAATAATGCCGAAAACGCAGTGATATTTATAAATAATTGTATATATGATAGTTTAAACCCAAAATTTCTATCAAGGACAAGTTGAATAATGCTGAAAACGCAGTGATCTTTATAAATAATTGTATATATATATATATATATATATATATATATGTGTGTGTGTGTGTGTGTGTGTGTATTGCGCCTTTGAGTTGCATTAAAAGGCGCTATATAAATTCTCTAAAAATAATAATAAATATATATATATATGTATATTTATGTATATATATATATAATGTGTGTATAAAATAGTATGTGAGGAGGGATGTCATGGAGAATAAATGCAGCTCGCGGGAATTCTCCATCTTGAATTATACATAATTCTGTTGTTGGCTCGTTTCTCACTGATACCACTTCTCTGTCCGTCTCCTCGCTGCCACACTTGCTAAACCAGCTCACATTCAATCAATCATTCAATCATTCAATCAATCATTCAATCAATCAAACAATCACTCAAACACATTTTCGAATTTAAATACCGTGATAGCGTTTCTTAGGAAGTATGTGCTTACGTAAATTTGCATTGATAAAAGAAGAAATATTTTGTAGTTTTTCATGTTTTTTCTGTCGTCACCTTCATGAATGGCTTAAAAAGATTAATAACTGAATGATAAACAAGATCTATTAGAGGCATATGAATTCTGTCATTAATTACACCGTTTTTTAATTTCTAAAATCTTTTTCATTAATACCACTGTACCAATGTAAATTAAATAAAATGTTGCAATGCAAAATGTAAATTAAAATAAAATAATATAATACAAATTAAAATACGAATTTGCGCTGATTGAGAAAATCTGGGTAAATTGTGATAATATTGTGAAAATATTTATGTTATTTCAAAACGTTCCATCTGTCGTAAAATTTCAGATTGTTATTGGAATGTGTCCGTTAGTTTTTAAAAATATTTTTTTATTCCAAAGTATTAATAATTAACATGAAAAGTTTTTAAACGAATCAAAATGAATTGCTGACTAACGTTTGAAAGACCTAGGTTTCGCTTGCTTCCTTCTCGACATCTGATGTTCGATCGGTTCTGCTGACGGCCTTATTATTCATTTATATCAAATAAAATATATATACTAAATTTTCAACAATTCGTTTTTATAGCTTTGGGAAACAAAATAAACCAAATTCCAAATTTTTGTGTCAATTAATAATGATAATAACAATAATAATAACAACGACAGTAATAATAATAACAATGTTGAACAAAAGTTTCTTAAATGTTGAACGATCGATAAAAGTATTGTAGGAATAAAAGTTTAACAGTTTAAAAGTTTAGGAATAAAGAATCGCTTAACTTTTAGTTGTAAAATTTCAATTAATAAAGATTGTTTCATTTGAATTATGATAAATTAAATGATTTGAGATCGAACAAATAAGATTTGACCCAAAACATAAATCGACTACAAAATCAATAAACATTTGAATTTGCAGTAAAAGGTTAGAATAAAGATAACAGTTTGTAAAAGACGATACAAGTCAACGATGCTCTTCAATACAATCATCTCCAAAAACACGTGTCTACTTAAATACAGTCTCTCAACAAGCCATGGGATTGATTCACCTGGAAGAATTATATATTTATATATTTTACATATGCATGCACGACATGTATGCATGCATGTACGTATGTATGTATGTATGTATGTGTGTATGTATGTATGTATGTATGTATGTATGTATGTATGTATGTATGTGTGTATGTATGTATGTATGTATGTATGTATGTATGTACGTATGTATGTATGTATGTATGTATGTATGTATGTATGTATGTATGTATGTATGTATGTATGTATGTATGATGTATGTATGTATGTATGTATGTATAAAAGAAATAATCGAGAGTAAAACAATAAAATTTTTAGGCGTTTTATTAGTTCAGAAACTAACTTTCAAACCCCATGTCAACTACGTTTCGAACAAGTTAGCGAAATCTATCGGAATAATGAACAGAATAAAATTTTACCTTTCGAAAAAATGCTTGAACATGATCTATAACGCCATCTGTCTACCTCACGTGACATACTGCAATGTTGTTTTGGCCAGTGCGTATCAAACGACCACCAACCCCGTCAAGGTGCTGATGAAGAGGGCAATGAGGGTCATCACGCTGTCCAGGAAGCAAGCGCACACCAATCAACTATTCGTCGCCACCAACAATTTAAACTTTGACAAATTAAATCTTTATTTTGTGGCAAATTTTGTTTTCAAGCAACTTACAAATAGGCTCCCATCAATTTTTAATAATTATTTCATCTTTAATAAAAGTTCTAGACAAGTCAAATATTTATTTATCAAATAAATCAAAGACAAATATTCTGTATTCGCATGTTGTATGCAATGGTCCTAGAGTGTGGAATCAAATTTTGAAAGATGGTTTTTGCTATGAAAATTTGTCTACAATCTTTAAAAAGAAATTAAAACTATTTCTGTTGTTGAATGACCAACGACTAACCGTAAATCAATATAGATGTGGAGATCTATTTTACAATTTTTATTTGCGCCTTAATTGCCATTGTTTAGTTCACATCTCTGTTTAACTTTTAGAACAATGTCGTTCTATATATTGCTTAAATATATAGATAACTATGTAATGTGTATCCCGTGTTTTTTTGGATAGATACCAAACATTGTTATACAAAAACCATGAACCATCGTACTAACAACTAACACCTGTTTTGCTCACATAGTTGAGTTTGTTAATTTACTAACAACTAACAACTAACATGCCTCTCATAGATCATTTAGGAAAAATTTTTATTATTTTGGTGAAAATTTGTGTGAACTTGGAACATTTCTGTTTAGGTGGCCATACTAGATGAATTTTATATAAATTCTATTATGGTCATCCTGCTTTCTTTTAATTTTCAATTTTGAGAAGCAAATAAAATTTCGTTTCGTTTCGTTTCGTATGTATGTATGTATGTATATATGTATGTATGTATGTATGTATGTATGTATGTATGTATGTATGTATGTATGTATGTATGTATGTATGTATGTATGTATGTATGTATGTATGTATGTATGTATGTATGTATGTATGTATGTATGTATGTATGTATGTATGTATGTATGTATGTATGTATGTATGTATGTATGTATGTATGTATGTATGTATGTATGTATGTATGTATGTATGTATGTATGTATGTAATTTTTTTTTCTTTTCCTTCGAGGTAGGAAAATACATTTACGTATTCCCAGGCCACAGCCCTTGGTTATGTCGGACTCGAAAAAAAAATCCCATACCGTCTCAAAACCTTCTCGACATCTGGTCCCTGTTTCCCCGTTGACCCGCCGTTAGGATCATAGCTATTTGCTTTTCCTTCTGTTAATTTCTACCTTTAAAGTATTTTTCTGTTTTCCAACTTTGTTTGCTTCTATTTACCAACTTTGTTTGCTCTTTGTCTTTCTATCGTACGTAGATTTCGGAGAACCTCAGATGGAAATGAATCGATCGCATCCCAAGCAATTTTAGATGTAAGCATTGCATTTACTATGTTTTCTGGCCGGAGTTTCTGTTTGAGAACAGTTTCCAAATTATTCCTGGACCCATTGAAACGTGGGCATTCAAATATTTTCATTAATTTCCGGACAAGAAGGGCACTTCGACGAATCATCATGCCCAAAACGAAAAAGATATGCTCGGAAGCATCCATGACCAGAGAGCACATGTGTCAAGTAGTAATTTATCTTACCATGATTACGGTTCACCCAGATACTTATTTGTGGTATAAGTCGATATGTCCATCTACCAGCTGTTGATGAGTCCCACTGCATTTGCCATCGATGCACGCTATGTAGTCGTTCTTCCATTCTGAGTTTTTCTGTGCTCAGTGCCGTGGTTTTTTTTCGCTGGTATAAAACCCTTCTTTCTTCAGCGAGTTCTTTAATAGGCAACGTCCCAGCAATGGCACAAACCGCATCATCGGAAATTGTGCGGCAAGCACTGGTAATTTTCAAAGCATTTTTCCGATACGTCGATGTAAGTTTATTCTGTGTATCTCGAATTCTAAGTGTATCGGACCAGATAGAAATTCCATAAGTCAATACTGACGTGACTACGGATGACAGTAATATTCTTCTATTCTGTTTTGGGCCTCTTACATTAGGCATTAATCGTAATAAGGCTGTTCCCACTCTGGTTGCTTTAATGCTAACATGTTCTACCTGTTGTTTAAAACTCTTACATTAGGCATTAATCGTGATAAGGCTGTTCCCACTCTGGTTGCTTTAATGCTAACATGTTCTACCTGTTGTTTAAAACTCAGTCGAGTATCAATCATTATCCCTAGATACCGAATAAATGGTTTGGATATTATTTCGTGATCCCCAACTGTCAGCCTAATAGTTTTTACTTGTTTCCTTCGGGTAACTAGTACTGCTTCAGTTTTAAGTTTTGCTAACTCTAGGTTCACTGCATACATCCATTCACTGATCTTTGCAAAAGTGATATTAAACGCTAGCTCTATTTCCTCCAGATGTTTTGCAACAATAACCACAGCTACATCATCTGCATAAGCCACAAGACTGACTTCCAACGGCAGTTTCAATTTAAGTAGGTTAATGTACATTACGTTCCATAGAAGAGGCCCCAGAACGGAACCTTGTGGTACCCCTCCCGTTATTTTGTATTCTTTTGGTCCTGCATTTGTATCATATTTTAATTTTCCCTGTGAGAAATAGCTTACTACCATTTCTTGTAAATATACTGGTACGTTTAACTCATGAAGGGCACGCAGGATGCAATTCCAGTTGGCAGAGTTGAAAACATTTTTGATGTCTAAGGTAGCCACCAAACAGTACTTCATTTTTCCTCTTTTCCATTTTTTTCCTGCAATAGCATCTATGGCTTTATTAACAACAAGATTCACTGCATCAAGCGATGATCGACCTTTTCGGAAACCGAATTGATTGTCCGTAAGCTGCGGATCCACAACTTCTTCAATCCTCTGATGAATAATTCTTTCCAATATTTTACCAGCCGTATCTAACATACATAGCGGTCGATAAGATGATGGCTCTTCCGGAGGTTTCTTTCCCTTAGGAATAAGCATTAGTCTCTGCTGCTTCCATCTAGTAGGAAATACACCTTCTCTAAGACTTGAATTGTACACCTCTAAAAACAGTTCGGTGCCTTTTTGATGGCTGTTTTTAAAACAATGTTTGGAATTCCGTCTAAGCCTGGAGCTTTGTTATTTCCTACTCTATCACTAGCTTCCATGAGTTGGCGTTTTGTGATAGGCGGGATGTCATTCATTTCACAACGTTTTCTTCTGTAATAGTGGCTGTTTTGTTGTGGGAATAAAGTAGTAACTATTTTGTTCAAGAGCTGGGGGCAAGTGGGCGAAGATATTGGCTGTTTTTTTAAATGGAACGTGACAGCTTTGTAAGGCCGACCCCACGGATCTTTTTCAACTTCATTGGTAAGATTTATCCAACATTGTTTTTTACTATTTTTAATTGCTTTGTTGAGTTTTAAACGAGCTTTCTTGTATTCTGCTTTCAGTTCCTCATAATTAGGTTTTTTCGATGAGTGTTGTGATGCTCTTCTCGCTTTTAGGCATTCTTTTCGAAAGGTGCTAATGTTTTCATTCCACCAATGAACCGATGAGCGCTTCTTCATATAATGTTTTCGAGGCATGCTCGCATCGCACGCTTTTATAATTCTTCTCATCAAATCATCTGCTTTCTTTTCAGCATTCTGTAAGACAATTGGTTCACGATCCAAAACCACCATAAAAGCAATTGGGTCAAAAAAATTTTACTTTCCATCCATTATCATTTATCCGCATCTGAGATTTTTTAACGTTGGAATCATCGTATATTTCCCAAAACAGTGCGCAGTGGTCGCTTGCAGTGTAAACATCCAAGACTTCCCCGGAGTAGTTTCCTTTAACAAGGCAACTACTAACAAAGGTGAGGTCTACCACTGAGTTTGCTTCTCCTCTGATGAAAGTAGGTTTATCTCCGTTATTCAACAGAACTACATCCAATGTACCCATTGCTTCTAAAAGGCGTTCCCTCTTGCATTTGTTTTTTTGCTACCCCAATCTACTGCCCAAGCATTGAAGGTGGATAAAGCAATATCACGGTTGTCATTTGGAAAAGCGTCCGGTTTAAATAGTTTGTCGCCAGAGTTGCTTAAACATTGTGGTATACATCTCAGGAAAAAGTTGGTGAAGCTCTTTGAACGCATGTAGGTTGAGCGGTCGGTTTCTTAGAAGTTCAAAAATACTCTGATCATTCATATGTGTAAGAAAAAATGACTGATCGAACTGTAACAACCACAGAAAAATCTCTCTACATTCTATACCTGGAAAGATACTTGCCAAAGTGATTGCTGACCATCTGACAAAACATGTCTACACTCTAGAAATCTTTCTGGAAGATCAATGTGGATTTAGAGCCGGATGCAGCACAAAGGATATGGTATTCACTGCAAGACAACTGCAAGAAAAATGTCGTGAGCAGCAACGAGGACTGTACATGGTTTTTGTTGACCTGACCAAGGCTTTTGATTCAGTTGATAGGTGAGCACTTTGGCGCTGCTAGTCAAAAATTGGTTGCCCCCGGTTTTTGGTGCCATTGTTTTTGTTTTCCATAAAGGTATGAAAGCGAGTGGAATTGAGAATGGTGAACGGTCTTAGGATATTGATGTTACAAACGGAACCCATGAATGTAATTATGGCTCCACTGCTGTTCAACATCACTTTTCATTGATGCTTTGAGTTGCTTTTCGTCGCGGTTGTAAAGGGATATAAAATCTGCTATCGTATGGATGGAGATGTCATTAATATCAGACAATTGCAAGCGAAGTCCAAGACACAGACCTCTATTGTTCGCGGCCTGTTATTTGCTGATGATTGTGCACTTGTTGCACACACGCAGGCCAAAGTTCAGACGCTGTTCAACCGCTTCCATATAACCGCTAAAAGATTCGGACTTACGGTCAGTCTGAAAAAAACTGAGATCTTTCATCAAAGCTACCCAGTTTCATTGGGAGTAATGGCCCAAGTGATGGCGGACGACTCGCGTCTCAATTCTGCTGATAAATTTTGTTATCTAGGCGGATATATCTTTAACAGTGCTACTATTTACGACGATATTACAGCAAAGCTTGCAAAAGCAGGTGCTGTTTTTGGTATGTTGACCGGTGTTGACCGGACGTTTTTGGAAAGAATACGCAGTTATCTTGGCCACTAAAATTATGGTATACAGAGCAGTTGTGCCCACTTTACTGCTGTATGGCTGCAAAACCTGAACATTCTATCGTCGTCACATTTGTAGGCTCGACCAGTTTCCTTTGAGGTGTCTACGTGTTATTGCTGGTATCAGGTGGGAAAACAATGTCTTAAGCACAATGGTTCTGGCAAAGTGCGGTACAATGGACATAAAATCGCTTTGGCTTCAAGCTCAATTTCTTTGAATAAAACATGTTATACGTATGGCAGACACAAGAATTCCCAGCAGGTCATTTTTGATCAACGGACATCGGGAAATCGACTGGCATTGGCCGATAAAATTTAAATTGTCGTCAACTGTTCTGTTCACATTGATCCATGATTTGTCTGCTGGTCTTGTTGGCAAAGTTTTTATGCCCACTTCCCTAAATCCCCGAGTGAAAATAATATACCACTAAAAAAACATCGTGAGATAAAAAAAAATAGGTGAACGCCGTTTGTAGAGAAAGAATCGGCTAGAAAATTCATCCGGATTGAATAACTTATAAACTCACAAGTGGTTCAACCGAAATATACATTTTTTCAGTAAACGACAAGTTAACGATAATAATGAGAAAAATAAATAAGCAAATGGTGGCGATTGTAATTTATTAAAATCAAACTGGTTTAACGTCGAATTTTAATTAAATAAAATGAAAATGTATCAAAATGCATCTCCAATTTAAAAAAAATATATATCCGAAATGTTAGAAACCAACATTTTATTAAAACATGTGTGACGCTTGTGCGTTCTAGAAATATAGTTTTAAGAAACTTTTAAATGGAAATGAAATATTCCAAAGAAGAAACGGTTTGTGCATATGATTATGTGAAAACGCTGTGTGTGTAGTGCAAAGAACAGATACAAACAAAAGCGTACAAACAGCAAAGAGCGTGTGCAGGCGTGAGAACATTCCCAGGGGACCTAGGCAGGCTTGTAGCATAAGAGCGCAGAACTCCCTTGACATGCGTAGCAAGTCGATAACAAAAATTCTCGAGAGAAAACATGACTGTCAAGCTAGGCTGGTTGAAGTTGCTGCATAAAAACAAATAACCAAAACAACGCATCCGCCATTATAATTTTTCTCCAAAGGTTTACGTTATTGTTAGAGAACTTAATGATATTTCAAACATTTTTGATTCTTTGACTTAAACATTTAATGTATGTCCAAAAAATTAAGTATATCAAAACACAAAAAGTAACATGAGCTTTGCAAAAAAGTATACCCAAATAAAGTCAGATGTTACAAATCAATGATTAACAAATAAATTGAGTTATACATCAACTAGGAAACGTTTGCGTCATTATACTGTTATATAATTTATCATTATTAATATTTTATTCAACCGTTGTGGGTAATATTATTAGGATTTTTGAGGGTCCTTGCACTAGTTATAATGTATTCATGACGTCAAAGCTGAACTTGCTTCCTGCAGTTAAACATGGGATAATTATAGCACAATAGAGCAAAACCAATGTGTAAAAACAAGATACTATGATAACGATTTATAAAATCGTTTTCGAACCGAGCAGCAGCGTAGCTTGAAATTTTTCGTTGGACTAAAACTTTTAAAATAAAGTTGGCGACCCTATTTTTGCTTATCACACAATTTGCGGTATTAAAACTAGTGGTTTTCTAACAACATTTAACATCATTTGATTATTTTGGAGACTCAAACATCATTTGATTGTTGTGGAGACTCAAACAATTTTTCAGTCCAAAATTTCCATTTTGGGAGCCTCCTTTTGGCTACGCCTCTAGAACCGAGACTCAATGAAAACCTATAACACTTAACTATATACGGTGCTTTCGTAGACTATATGATGACATACGGGTTTTAATAAGTAAAAACAAAGATCTGGAGATATTTTGTTTATTAATTAAGGTAACGACTTTAGTTTTTTATTATGTATTTATTTATACGACATTACTATTACGATGTTGATTATTTCCAAGATGAAGGTATGAAATTAGTTTTCCAATTAACCTATAAAAAAATAATCACGCAAAGCAATTATATATACATATATGCGTGTGTCATTCATATATATATATATATATATATATACATATGCGTGTCATTTACCTTTTATGGTGCAAAAAAACTAAATCCTGTGTTCCGTTTCTATCAAGGTCAATTCAGGAAAAGCGCTGTACAAATCACTAACAATGAAGGGCATACCTAAGGATGTGTTTCTGCCAGTGGGTAGCAGTATGTTGACAAAACTGGTTCACTTCACTGGTTTATTGTATTATATATGGCACACTGGATAAGGGTGTAGACAGATTGGGGGTAGTTCAAATGCCGCCGTGAACTACATTTGTTGCCACGTTATTTCGGTAACATAAGTGGGTGGGGAAAATGTCATCGGCATCCTGCAGCACATCCACAGTAATTGAGAATGCTGATGCCCAAGATTAGATCGGTGAATCTAACGCTACTACTAATAATTATATATTTGTTTTAGTAACTTAGTACAAAATTCGGCGTATCTGAAAAATCCACACCCATCGAGTTACTCAAAGTAATACAAAAAAAAAATACCAGAACGTCAGCATAAAAACGTTTGCGCCATTATTTCTCACTTTTTAGATTTCCCGAACATCGAAATTGCGCACAAAAATTGATAAAGAACCCGATAAAACTCAAAGTCGACCCGAAAATGTTTGCGCCATTATATACCATTCATTAATTCCCGCTGATCACCCAACTCGATCTGATAGGATTTCAATGCACCGACGGGACAATGCCAGCATAACGCATCGAGTTTAAAACAAAAATAGTAAAATAGACTTTCCTTGTCCTATCTAGCGCAAATATTAACTAATATTAGTAATAAAATAAAAGTAAGCTGTTTTAACAAAAACTACGGACGAATTTTCCATTGCCGCGATTAATGAAAGTAAACTAACGCTAAAATGTTTTAATCATTACTTTCAAAAAAAACTCAATATTACACAAATACAAACTTACACACACACATATATACATATAAGCAACCGTATACTTCAAGCATCCAAATGTTTATTCAAACGTCTTAATTTTTCTTTTTTGTTTCTGTTGAAATGCTTTTTTGAATTAACTGTAATATTTTTAACTGTCAATTTTTCAACAAATTTATCAATATCATTAATTGTGCTGCTGTCTCCACAGACAGATATTGGTGATCTTTTGTTGACCTTCATATTTTGTAAATTATGTGCTGCTACAACTGAAAATTTGGATCCAAACTCTTCTTCCGTAGAGCTTGGTGGGCATGCACAGTAGCACAGCTTTCCATTAACAAAATCTTTAATTATTAAACGAGCGGCCCTAGAACAATCTGGAACACCTTTATGTGTCATAAAACCCCTGACACGAGCATATGCTGTTAACAGATCATATGGCGAAGATTTGGTATTTTCTTCAAGTATTATGCCATAAGTCTGTTCAAACACAGTTTTTGAGATCAAATTGCAAACAATAGCTGTTGGAGAAAGATAATCTTTCATTTGATCGACTGGTAATATGCCATTTGTAACCATCTCTGCTTTTGAAGCCACAAAATTTGGCATAACAAGACCTGGACAATCACAAAGTAACAATTGGCTGTCTATAAAAAAGGTTTGAAAATGCTTTGTTTTACCAGGCGTAGCTGACACAGGAGCCTGATAGTGTTTTGCTTTAGCAAAAGGATCTTCGACAGTTCTATGTGCCAATAAAGCATTAATTGTTGAACTTTTTCCAACATTTGGGTAGCCAATTAAACCCACAGTAATAAGTTCATCACAGTCTTTTTTTATTTTACGACCAATATATTTAAACCAGTCTAACAACTGAGAAGCATTTAAAATTGGATTTGCTTCATATTCAGTTTCATCAATGCTTTTATTTATATCATTTACTATGCCTTTTTCTTTAAGTTCCTTTATAGCTGACCAAAATAACACAGTAATTTCAAAATCTTTAAAATAATCCACCCAAATTTTTCTTTGAGATTCATTTAAAAAATCTGCTTTGTTTATTAATAAAACATTCTCTTTTTTTGGATCTATTTCTTTCACATATATTTCTAAATCTTCACATCTGAACAACAACGGGTTCCTAGCATCAACAATCTGAACAATTACATCACTTTTTTCAATAACTCTCCATAACTGCCTCCAAAACTCTAAATTTTTTTCATATGGAGTTATTAAAATCCCTTCCATTTCTGACAGCTTAGAGAGATCGTGTCTCCATTCCAAAAACGAGGTTTTTTCATTTTCATTCAACTGCTCGATGTTCATTTGCTCATCCCATTTTGGCCTTCTTGGTATACGCAGCAGTGACTTCAAATCATTTTGAATTCTTTGCATTTTTGCCGATTCTTCAGCTGACGGAACCAGGTTATTACATGATATTAAAACTGAATTTTCGCGTTCAGCAATAAACTCTGTCATGGCTAACTCGGCAGTAGAAAGAAATTCTTCAAGTGTGTTCTCTTCAGTGATCGATCTGAAATTAATTTTGTTCCAGTCTAATCCATCATTTAAATCAGTGGTGTGAAGATCGCAGGACTTAGAAGCATTTTTTCGGCCACCAAACCTATTTTTAATTAAAGATTTTCCTAAAAACATATTTGACTTCGAGCTCATTTTTATATGATAAAATTATTAAATAACAAATTAACAATTAACATTCGACAAGGCAAGCTAAATCGCGAAAGAAAAACGAGTTGACGAGCGATTTTTAAGAAAAGGGAAAACAAAGAAGCAAAAACATTGAATAAAATATTAACCCATGAAAGCCATATTCTTATACCTATACAGGGCCTCGTCGCACCCGCGCCCATTTCCAGTACGCTTTAAAGTCTGGTCTCATTTTAGTTTTAATGATAATATTTTACATTTTGTATATTTTTATAGTTAATTAATAAATATTTATTCATTTAAAAAGTTTTATTCAATTGATTTTTTAATTGATTTATTTTACGCATTTGCATATTACAAGCTATTTAGTAAATTTTCTGGCGTCATTTAGCGACGTTGATTTGAAATCGTGGTGCTTAACGGACTTTCCCTGTTCAAGTTAAGGCTTTTACGATTTGGGACAAGGCCTACTAAGCTGTGTAAGGTAGTGGTCTAATCAAGTCACTCGAAAGATCTAAAAATTATTTCTGCACGCAACAAGCGCTCAAATTTTTTTACTGCGAGAGGCAGAGGTGAGAAGAAATTGTTAGAGTCGTCAAATTTACAACAAATTAAAATTTTTTGTGAAACAAACTAAGCAAATATTTGCTTGATTGAATTTTATTAAAAAATAACTTACAACTGAAAATAAAAATTAGCTAAAAATAACTTAAAAATAATTTATTACTGCAATAAAACATTTAAAAATTAAATATAAATAGCCATTGTAAAATTCTTCTCATTTAAAAACCAACGTCATGACCAACTAACAAATTCAAATATTAGGCAATTCATCATCAGAATCAAATTCAACACATTCATCCTTCATCCAACCACCATCTCGAGTTCTTTTCCACCCATTTCTTTAAAAAAAGTTTCAAGATTAGACTCTAATAATCAAATAACAAAAAATTGCTAAATAAAACTCACCCAAATGCTTTCAAATATAATTCTTTTTGTTCATTCGTTAATACAGTCGTTGCATTGGAAAGAACACTCTCATGACCTTCTTTTGAAATCACTGTGTTAATTGGTTTCAATTCATCAACATTAAACTCGGTCTTAGTTTCTACTTCATCAATTTTATTTAATGGTTTGTCTGTATCATTGATTACATTAACGGAACTATTGAAAATTGCATCACTTTCATTAGTTGATAACAACGAAGTTGCACGTTTTTTGCTTTTGGACAAATATGGCTTAACGTTTAATAGAGAACGTTTTTCATTATTATATTCTTCAACCAATTTTAGGGATTCGTTGCTTTCTTTCAATTCCTTAATTGCGTCTCTATGTTTAGGCTTAAACGATTTTTTGGATTTTTTCTTGAAATTGTTAACTATTTCGTCGTAGGTGGTTCCAGAGAAGCATTTCTGTTTAAAAATTTGTAACAAAAATGAATAAAATAAAAGAAATTAAATGGAAATTTGAATCCACTCAAAAAATTCCAGGTCAAATTGAATTAAAGATATTTTAGGAAGAAACCATTCCGTTAAATATTAAATTCTAATTTTTAAGAAGTTAATTAATTAATTATAGTAATCAATTGTATAATAAATTTATCATAACGTAATTTTCGCCACTTTACCATGTTTAATAAATTACGAAACTTTGAAAAAAAGGCCAGTCTCAAGCAAATCTAGAGGTAAACTGTTAATCCAGCAAAAGCAAAATATGTAGACTCAATATTTAGTTTTGCCAAAAAACCGCCAGCGAATTTTAAACTTAATCTGGTCTGCAGCTCCAACACATCCCTAAAGCAATGTTGTATCTGTCATGGTCAAATTCATTAATTCATTTACCAGCCAATTCAAATTTAGATTAAAAATTAAAGCCAAACGCAAAATATTCAGAGTATAATAAATTAAGTGTACAGTGTAAATGTATGAAACATGGCTTGAGATTGTAGTGAAAAAACTCACAACTCAATCAAATTTCAACATAATATGGCAATTCATTTAACCTGTATTAATATATTATAATTAAACAGGGATCGTTAATTGCATAGTTAATAATTCTCACTTTCGTCATTAATTTAAAAGCTTTTACATATTAAAAGTTTTAATCTCAAATCTAAATGTAAAAATATGAGAAACATTACATATTTAAAAGCAGTTAAAACTAAAATATAAATTTTTGAAATATGACTTGCAGAGTTGCAGAAAAAACGACACTGCTTAATCAAATTTCAATAAAATATGGCAATTCATTTACACCCTTATTAATATATTATAATAAAACGAGGATCGTTAATTGCTAAGTTAATCATTCTCAAGATCAAATATTATTCGCCGTATTTCACTTTATTATAAAACAGCTGATAATTGGGGCCAATTATTATCTAAAAGTTATTGATAATTATGATCAATATAATCTTTAATAAATAAATAAAAAATAAATAATTAAAACATTCTTAGACTTGTCAAATCGTCATTTACAAACAACTGATCTACAGATAACCACCATCAAAAAAGTTATCAAATTGTTTCAATATGAAACTACGTACAAAGAGACAAAACAACATTTTGTCAAACAAAGCAGAGACTAACATAATTTCAAACACCAAGCTTACAACAATATTTCACTCAATCCAAGAACAACATCTGACACTCACTAAATAAGAGTCAAATAAATATCCAGTCAAATAAGTCTCTTTACTTCGCATCGACAAATAACAGACAACAAAGTGCTAAAAAATCCTTCCACACTCTTTCATCATAAAGTAATTTAAAACCTGCAAAAATTCAATTTATGCTGGATACAACTTCAAGTAAGAAAGACAAACCAAAGTCTATTCATTCTTGATCATGTACAGCAGATTCAAGAACTAAACCAAAATTTATAACCATTTTTTACATTGTTTCCTTTTTATAAAGCAAATTCTTAGTATCTCTGCTGCCTTATTTAATTAAATGAATACACTGTATAGGAAGTTTGCATATAGACAAATTAAAAATAAATAAGCATTAAACTAGTATATATTTAAAAAAACTGCATTTATATATGTAAAGTGAAGTATATCATATCCAGCTGTGTGAGTAACATTTGTGGTTTGGAATTGCCTACCTTGGCAGGAGTTGGATGTCTAAGTGAAAAAAGTTACAAATTTTGCTGACCCCAAAAATAATTGTAGTGGTCAGAAATATTTCTAAACAAATAATTTCATTGTCATTGCTTAACTTCAAAACAAAACCAAAATTCTGGTCATCGCAACAGTGCAAACTCAAATCATACTTATGAATTTATCATCACTGTACAAGAGTTACATCAATAAAATTTACATAATAATATTGAAAACTAAAATATAAAGTTTACCTCATAATGCAAGGCACTCTTCTGCACAGGAAAAAATTCTAAAGCTGTTAAAATAGTTTTTGACTGTTACTTAGCAAACTAAATAATAATAAAAAGTCAAGATATAAATAGTTGAGCTTTTTAAGATAAAGATATATATAAATTATATATAGTTAAGCTTTTTAATTTTTACTTATCAATTAAAATATCAAGAATTAATTTTGAAAAAAACCATACAAATTTAGAAATGAAATTCTAAAATGCAAAAATTAATAAATGACCTAATTGAAAAAATTCAGCTAATGCTAAAACAAAAAATCACTAAAACTAATCATGAACAAATCTTTGTGAGTTAGAATATATAAGAACGAAACACAAGATGAATGCTACCCTTTTTATGTCTTTTTCCAGATCGGTGAATTGATAGCATTGGAACTGTATCAAACACAGGACCTTGGTGGCAAACAGTGCAAGCAAACCTGAATTCAAACATCATATTAAACATAACTAACGAAATAATTTATAAAATTACACAATTATAAAACCTTCCATTGCTTAAAAGTTTTGCTTCATTGTTAGGTATATTGGCCGTGAACAATTCTGATATCCTTCTTTTCTGTAAAAAAATATTTTATTACCCACTGTTAAGTTGAATTAAATTATTTGGATCTCCATTGTGCATTATCTTTTTGATTAATTTAATTAATTATAACACCTGCCCTCAGGCCACATGATAATCTGTTTTTTAAATTTATAGTTTATAAGGTTAGAAAATGTCATTTTAAGGCCTAATCTTGTTTTATATGAAATAAAAGATTTAAAAGAAAAAATCAATTCTGATTGTAAATGAAACTAAAGTAAGAATAGTAACTTAATCAGGCCTTAATTAGAAATTTTAGGGACATTTTTATCTTATGAAGCTGCATTAAGTTTAGTTGGCACATGCAAGGTCATGGAAGAAAACTAGAAATGCAATCTTATTATTGAATACATCACAATTCGGTGCACCATGTCAAGAACCTAGATGATTTTTAATATTTTTAGAATACAGCGTTAGCATTTCTTACTTTCTTTGTGCTCCAAATGTTGAATACCACACCTCTGGATTCATCCATCTAACGAACACATCCTACTCTCTTTAACAAACACTCTTAACTATCCTATCTTACCAGGTTTTTATAAACATTAGTAAGTCTATCTTAACTTAACTTGCCTACTTAAGAATTATAATATATGCTTAGCTTTTAGAGATTTAAGTCTTCTCTCTTTTGTTTTTACTTTATATTTCTATTTACAACATTTGCTTACACTGTAAAAGTGTGACACTTTCTTTCTTCAGTTTTGTTTAGTAGGGAAGGCAAGATAATAAAAAAAGCTTTATGTTATCGTTAAATTAGGCAGTAAAGCATAAATAAACAGTTAACAAAATAGATTAACGTTCAGTTATGTTAAGATAAAGTTAAGGTTAATTTAATTAATTAAATAATTTTCAATATGACTAAAACTATTTACACAGTATTATATGAATTCTACTGAATTCCGAATTACTGGCATTAATCAATTTAAAGTTTATCTTTTCAATTTTCTTTACTAGAATTTTCTGAAAATTGTTCGATTTGTTGAAAATATAATTATACAAGTTCACCAGAAAAACTTAATGAAACTGTTGTTACCCAAATTCATCATGCAGATAAGTGGCCGATAAGCATAAGGCCAAATTTCGATTTTTCATAAATCATCTTCAGTGCAGGTTTGGTTAACAGTTTCATTAAATTTTCAAGATGAACTTGGATAATTCTATTTTCTTTTTAACAAATTGAACAATTTCCAGAAAATTTTAGTAAGGAAAATTCAAAAGACAAACAAGTTTTTTAAATTGATTTAAAATAAAATGCCAACAAATTGGTACAATTCATACAATACTGCACAAAATATGGTCTCGTTACAATACATTTACATAGGTCATAATCATAACACAAATATGTAAATCTAAATTCTAAAAAAAGAAGGTTCTAGAATCTAACGGGGTTGACTTTTTAGGGCATAACTTCAGCTTTTTACGAAATGTAAAACTTTACCTAACTTAGAATTTTAGATTTAACTAAAATAACTAAAGGAACAAAACAAACAGCCACCTGCAGTAACCGGATAAACGAAGCATCGTCACCATCACGCTTGAATGACATGAGATGAAACCTGTCAAGCCTAATAATTCACGAACGATAATAGGATCGCAACGTTAAATCACCAAATCTCGTTGATCAATTGTATATATATATGTATGTATATGTATATATATATATATATATTGGGTTTAGACTATTTATAAATAATTGTATATACAAATATATATACATATATATATATATATATAATATGTTCATGAGCATAGATCTAAATATAAAATATATGCAAAACTGAAGTCTGCGACCATGGATATAAATAATAATCTCGATACATATATGAAGGATATATACATTCTATCATTGAATTATATAATTATTATATAATAATTATTATAGTTATATAATTCCATGCATTCAATATATATATATGTCTCGATCCAAGGGGAGGCCTATTTACCAGCATACAACACCTTCTTATGGGTTGAAGCAGGGATATGCAAAGAACCTCAATTTTTTCAACTTTTAATTATTTTCAGTAATGTCTCCCCTTGCTCCAAACCACAACTAGAATAATAGGACTAATCGATCAATTCGATCTATCGGTCAGGTTATTTGTCGTGCTTGGATTGTTGGCTTACGAAATTGCATGGATTTTAACGAGCAAGCTAAATGATTTTAGTAAAGAAAGAAAAACACAGTAGTTGCTTTTATTTGAATTCATTCAAAAATGAAAAGTGACGGTTAATTAAAATTTTAAAATGTCATTTTTTTTTAAAATTCGTATTTTAAATAAACAAATATAACAAAATATCGACCGATAAAAATAATTATTATCTATTATTATTATTATCATACACACTCCTTAGAAGTTCTCAAAGGATAATAAACCACGTATGGTTTTATTAGTAAGAACATTTAGTAAGAACATTTAGTAAGAACAGTTCACAACATATCATAATGACTAAATCAACATACTAAACAGAAATAATTTATACATGCATATATACAAAGTAAATCAAGAAATATCCAAAAATTATATAACCAATTTAAAAAAAACTAGAAACCAGTCAACATTTAATGAATAAATAAATAGACATTATTAAAAAGATTGTTCAAAAAGGTACAATTTAAGGCGACGACGAGAATGAAATGTAGTTTTTGTTGGTGTGGTGTTGTGAAGCGAAAACAAACACATCACACAAAACTAGTAAGAAGACGCAAGAATAATAGTCAGTCACCTACCTATCATAAAATAACTCTCAGGGCCCTATCTTACTTATAAACATTGACTCAACTCACTTACCTACAAATTTGTATTTCTCGTTTTAGATGTTTCAAGTATTTTATTTAACATATTTTAGCGTTTTTATTTTACTTGAAGCTTTTTAACTAATGTTAAGCCCCAGCCTACCTACAATTGTTTAACTCATCTCAGCCCCTAACTTACCTATGAATTAAATTAAAGCCCGGTTCACGGTAAAGAAAATATAAAGTTGAAGAGAAACATAGCAACAACAACACCGAATGAATGGATGTTGTGTATGTATGTGTTGTATTGATGTGTGTGTATGTAAATGTGCGGGCGCGCACTCTCCAGAAACTTCACTCACTACCGACGAACCTCCATTGCACCGATCATCATCTGACACGCATCGATGGAATGAATTCGACCGGATACTGAAAAATAAATTGAAAAAAAAAATTCACTAAAATAAAAAACAAGCAATTGGAAAAAATAGGCAACTTATCTTTTTGAGATAACACTCAATCTTTGTTCAAATTCGAGTACTTTCAAAGGTACAATGAGACAAAAACAAATTTACCTTTAACATTATCTTCGATTTGTCATCGGAACGATCATAATGAGACCACCATCTGAAACGTGCTGACGCCCACCACAGCCCACCTCTCATCATTCTGTAGACAAGTTTTTATTAATTAGCGAAGTAGTAAATCAAGAAACAAAGGAACGAACGAATAAATGATTAACTGAATGATTGAACGATTGGTTGAATGAATAAATTAACTAATTAATCAACCAATGATTTAATGAATGAATAGAATGAATCAATGAATAAATTAACTGAGGAATAATTTGAAAGATAGTGATAAAATGAATGAATGAATGAGAAAAATTTAAAAAAAGAAACTAAATCATACTTCAAAAACCGTCGTTGTTGTTATCTTAGAATTGTCATCGGAACGATCATCATGAGACCTCCATCTGAAACGTGCTGATGCCCACCACAGCCCACCTCTCATCATTCTGTAGACATTTTTTTAATAGCTTATTAGTAAATCAAAGAACAAAGGAACGATCGAATAAATGATTAACTGAATGATTGAATAATTGGTTGAATGAATGAGTGAATGAATGAATGAATGAATGAATTAATAAATCAATGATTCAATTAGTGAATAGAATGAATTAACAAACCAATTAATAGAAGAATAACTTAAAAGGTTGAGTGATAAAATGAACGAATGAGAAAAATAAAAAACGAAACTAAACCTTACTTCAAAAATCGTCGTTACTGTACTTTCCATTGCACCGACCACCACCATCTGATCGGCACACAAAATACCATCCGAACTTCAGAGTGTCAGTCGAACAGCCAACGAGCTGATTTTTCCTACACCACCATCATCATATGTAAATCATCATGAGACCACCCTCTAAAACGTGCTGACTCTCACCACTGCCCACCTCTCATCATTCTGTAAACAAAATTTTTTTATTTGCGTAGTAGTAAATGAATGTTAGAATTTTAGAAGCAAAAAAAATTAAATTATAAAATGAAAATGTCAAATAAATAAAATTTTAAAATAATAAAGTAAGTAAAATGTAAAAAAAACTTACTGTCGTCCATTCGACAAAGGCAGAATGTTGAATGCGGTCCGGTTCCTACGTTGTCCTCCAAAACTGGTGCCAGTCCTCCTCAAGATTGTTGTTGAAACACAGCCCGTGTTGATGGAGAAAGATAGAAAAAGAGTAGATTCTCATCAGAAAGCTTAGCGGTGCTTACATCTCAAATTGTTTAATAAAAATAATCCTATCTACCTATTCAATTACCTTAACTAATCTATATTAAATTGTTAATGGTACGATAGTGGAAAGTCCCCCTTCATTCTTCCTCCTTGCACAGAGGTTCCCCGACAGCCAGGGCCTCGGATAGAAAATCATTGCCGTGCGGATAGTAGACTATTGCCGTGCGGATAGTAAACCATTTGCCGTCCGGAAGCCGTGCGGGTAGTAGACTATGGCCGTGCCGCATGGTAAATCATTACCGTGCAGATAGTAAACCATTGCCGTTCGGATAGTAAACCATTGCCGGTACACCACTGGCTACCAAGGCTTACCTCTGACAACAGACTTCGAAATTCAGAGTCTATCGGCTATCGTGCCCTCAACTTACCTATTCATTACAATTAAGCCCTAGCTTACCTAAAATTACAAAAAAACTCAAGAGCTCAATTCATTTGCCAATCGGCACTCACCCCACCACCTACGTAATGTCTTGGGCTCCAACTTAGTAATAATATAAAACTTAAACCCTAAATCTATTAATGAGTGTGTGTTACAACGTAGCCTTAACTTACCTATTCATTACATTATGGCCCTAGCTTACCTAAAATTACAAAACTCAAGAGCCCAATTCATTGGCCTTTCGGCACCCACCCCACCACCTACGTAATGCCTTGGGCTCCAACCTAATAATAATAACGTAAAACTTAATAACTAACTTACCTCTCGATACACTTACAGCGTTTATTTAATTTAAATTTCAAGATTGTTCCTAGAATTAAATTATTGCTTTTAATTACCTATGAAATTAAATTACTCTCAACCTTAGTAATAATAAATTAGAATGTGTAATGAAAATAAAATAACGCTCAAATACTAATATGTGTTTATGTATGTATTTGTGTGTGTGTATAATACGCTGATGCGTGTAATGTGAGTGCGAGAAAAAAATAGAAGAGATAAACTTACGCTGCCTACCTATTCAACTACATAAGTGTTGGATGCTTCCTATCTATCCTACCTACAATTAAAATTATGCCTATCTAACCTACCTATATATCTACTTAATGTAATTGTGTGTTTGTGCGTGTGCGTGTAAGCATTCTTACTTAATATTAAATTACAGAGAAAAACAGAGAAAAAACAATAAAACGTATCCCAGCCAGGCGTATCTTCTTTGCCACTGAATGAACGAACGTAGCCTGACATCTTCCACGATGAATTCCTTTGGAAGCTTCAACCTGAATAAAATGGAAAAATTTTATTTGACTAATTTAAGTGAAAACAGAAAAACGAGCCGCGGTGAAACCCGCCGGAAAAGCCAGCCAACTGGCAAAAACAGAACCGCAAAGAAACGGTAAAATGTACCCCAGCAGGGCGTGCATTCTTTGCCACCGAATGAACGAACGTAGCGTGACATCACAACCATTCTGATCGTTCACGATGAACTCCTCTGGAAGCTTCAACCTGAATAAATGAACCTGAAAAACCTAAATGAATGGAAAAATCTTATTTATTCAATTTAAATGAAAATAACCGCAAAGAAACCGACCGGTCGGCAAAGAAAAGAGAAAAGAAGAGCAAAGAAAAGTATCTATATAAGATTTATGCTCTATATAACTCTATATAACTCTATATAACTCTATATAACTCTATATAACTCTATATAACTCTATATAACTCTATATAACTCTATATAACTCTATATAACTCTATATAACTCTATATAACTCTATATAACTCTATATAACTCTATATAACTGGCTGGTTGAATCTGCTATATTGCTTTTCATATAAACATATAATCTAATATAATATAATTTAATTATTTGTATAAATGGATTCCAGTCACTTTATATATATATAAAAAAAATTCATTATAAAAGCAACAGTAATCAGTGCTATATATGTAAGCACGCAGTTCAAATTTTTTGGGGAGAATTCAAAATTGTTTGAGACTACACCTTGCTTAACATCCGATTCCAAGCCGAGCCAAGCCAAGCTGAGCCAATATGCATAGATTTATAAGCGCTTT